GATTGGAAGATGATCATTCGGAGCTCCGGAAATCACATGACCCGACACTTCGTTTTCTGCACGGCTAGTGTACTTTAGAAATATACTTGCCGCTCAAATCCCAAACTATTATAACTTGGGTCAAATCCCAAACTAATCTCTCAAAAATTTGTTATAACAGACCCAGCCAGCCGGGTTTTTTTTTAAATTTCATATATAACGATAAAATTTTGAGTTTTTAAATTTTGACCCGGCCGGGTTATGAAAACCAATTAATTAATTTTTGCATGGCCTAAACAAGTAAAATATACTCAATATATATAGAAGATATTTGTAAAATATCCTGCCCAATTTTTTTTTACGTATTTAATTTTTATATACATACATATATATATATATATGTATGTATATTTTTTTTTTTGAGGTTTGGAATTTGTCGGCAACTAGTCCAGAAGTATTCCAAGCGAAGGAACATGTCGTTATCGACTACCGAAATTGAAAGATCTCTTAGGGAGAATGAAGAATCCCTACGTGAGATCAAGGAACTCTTGGTCCTTAGCCCAGAAGATCCAGAATTGAACAATCTTGCCGGAGATCTACAAAGTATGATGGAGGTTCAACGGCAACAATTATTACTATCAAAGAAAAACGACCTTCTCGCACTTATTGGTTGTCCAATAGAAACTTTACACGACGACATAGGACACACGGTGAGGATCTTGTATATATGGTCGACATGAGTATAGAATCAAACGAGGATTTCGACAGCAAAAATTTATTTGTTGACTTGTCTTTTTGCACTTTGGATTCAAGATCGAAACTCAAAGCGACATACAGACGCATACTGAAGAGAATCCTATTAACTCCAATACTGATACAGATTCCTTACAGATCGGCGACAAATGTTGTATCCCATTTACTCACCCAGAATATCAAAAAGTCTATTTTCTTCCTGGATTAGTACAAAGTATAAATTCTGGTGCCAACACTCATAACATATTGATATTGACACCTATTACTCCATCCACTCGTGTATGTAAAAAGTATTTGTCAAATCAATGTGTGTTGCCGTGCCCCCGCGGATATTCTCATGGTGAAGAAATTTCATCCGATCTTGTTGCTCCGTATGAATTGCTCCATATTGGCCAAATAGATGCATATAAAGTTGGAAGTAATTGTTGGGCTAAATATGAAAATGATGAGGTATGGTACATGGCAAAGCTTGTTGGTATCGAAGCAGGTGGCCATGGCTTTAGAGTGATTTATAAAGGATATGAGAATGAACATCCTCATGGGGTAGTTGTAGGTCCCGATGAGATAATACCAGTACGAGGACTTTATGACATGGAAGAAGACAATGAAGACGATGAGGATGGCAATTCTAGTCAAAGTGATTTCTCCAATTATGAAAGTGATAGTCTTAGTGATGATATTGACCCACCGTCCAAAGAACCCGGGGAGTTTGAAAACATTCATATATTTAATTCATCTAATGATGAGTCCTGTCGTTTTGCGGAATGGGAAAAACATACTAAAGGTATTGCTTCCAAACTTATGGCTAAAATGGGTTACAAAATGGTATTTAAATCTCTATCTTCTTATTTGAATCACTTAAAATGTACCGGTGGAATTAAACTTATATTTATTTTATTTATTGATTGATTTTTTTGCAATATAGGGTGAAGGATTGGGTAAGAATAGTAATGGCATAATAAATCCGATTGAAGTCAAGATTTATGATAAAGTAATATCGCTGGACTATATCGGTGGACTGGAAAATAGATCTGGTCCTCATCGGCGCAAAAATCGGAATCGTAAATCCCATGATCCATCGATTCAATCCAAACATCATAGATCTCGTAAACGAAAAACAACAAATATTGGTCCCAACAATGTTGACATTTTTGAATCAAACAGTACTGTTTTTGACTATTTGAATTCATCTCTTAACAAAGGTGGAAAACAAAACACCCATGTATCTCAACGTCCTCGCAACTTCTCTGAAACTAATCATAACATAGCATTATATCAAATACAACAACAACTAAGCCAAACCAACAGAGAACTTCTAAAAGCCAAGGAATCTTTGCAAAGAAATGAAAAGAAGGATCCCACAATGGCTAAACATTTTAGAGAAAAAATTAGTCAAATTGAAGTAACCTTCCAAGCATTGAAAAGAAAAGAACAGGAAATCCAGAGTGGGATTGATAAAGCAAAAGGTCGTAAAAAGATGTCAGTGTTTTAATAATCCTGACTATTCATTGATTTTAAATTTATGATATACTGTACAACAATCTAATACTGTAGCATTGTACGAATTATATAATTTTATTTACGTTGCTTTTAAAATTTTGAATAATTACTATTACACTGTAATTGGACAGTATTATTTTATAACGGAATTTATAAATAAATTCTTTATATTTTAAATGTATTTATGCATTTGGTTGTAATTTATACCTAAAATCTCTTTAACAAAATCGAGGTCGAGTCAATAAGAGAAACATTTAAAAATACAAATCACTGGCATACACTTCCTGTAGGGTAGAAAGCATTAAAGTATTGGCATCACCCAAATATAGAATTGAATCCCTTATAACGTTAAATTTACTTAAAACGTTAAATTTACTTGTTTCCCTTGAAATTAAATCCAACGTTAGTAAACAATGATAAACAAACATCGGATTCTACGGTCGATCTTTGGGTAATTCACCCTACGACCAGGTTCAAGTTCCTAACTCAGATCTCCAGAAGGAGGTCTGACTCCGACAGGTACTTCAAAAGGATGTTACGTGTCCCGTTAAAGTCCCTGTCCATGTTAATTTCACACAAAACGCAAATGAATCTCTTTCTTCCTTCGAGATTCTTATTCACCCATCCGCAATTTCCACAGGTCTGAGAAGTGCATGCTTCGTCACATTCTATGATGTTATGATCGAAATACTCGCATGTCTTGTGTTTCAAAAATATTCTGAAACGATAATACAACCATGTCAGCATGTTTCTTGTGGTCATTGATCCAATCTTTTGTCTGGTTCTCTTTATCATATTTGAAGTCTCAAATGTTGGTATGAGTATCGTTTGATATCAATCACAAAGCCATTTGGCCAATTTATGATGCAATTCATCAATTAAGTTACAAATCATGAACCGGATCCTACACATCTTTCTTCACACAGATATTTTGTTCTTTTGTATTCTTTTCCAATTTTGATATACAAATCACTTTGTAATTTGTCATGATGTTTACACAATTTTACAATGTGGTTGAAGTCTACCCTACACCACTCAATCACACAACCTGCAGGGTCATAGAATGTCATGAACATTCTCATACCAGAATCCAATGTCACGATCCTACCACTGACAGGTGTTTGGTTCTCATGAACCTCCAATGGAATTGATACATAGAAATGAACCTTCCAAGTTTGTCCAATGTTATCACCAAAGTATTCTCTATTGCAAACAATGATTCAAAAAACTATAATATTCTTTAAGACAAACATACACCATTTAATCAATTAATGTTATATACAGGCACTATTAATGTTTGCAAAATATCTTCTAAATTTTATCCTGAATTTGTTTTTATATCTTTCCTTGCAAGTTTATATGATGATTTGTATTGCCTGATAACATATGATCTGATTTCATAAGTAATCAATGTAATTCTGAATAAGATTTATATAATTATTCTTTAAACAATTGTCTTTAATATACTGATAATTCTTAATATTGTCATTTTGATGCATTTCCACCACACAATTATAAATCCACCTCATGGCCCAAACCATCTTTTCAAGATATTTGCTTCCTGAAGAGTTGGGTAAACTTTCAGTTTATTAATATCATCATCTTTAATATAATCTTTATCAATTTCTGGTTTGAATACAAAATATTTATTGTTCAATTTTCTCACTATTTCATGGTTCATGATATTAAACCAGGATCTACAACTTTCCAAAAAATTTTTTAAATGATTATTGTTGTTTTCTATTTTGGCAATATTTTTTACAACAGGCAGCAATAATGTTCTTGCCATGTCTCGAGTTTTTTCATCCCATATCTAACATCTGATAATATTTTGTCTTTTTGATTTTCTTGAGATATTTTTGCGTTTCATGTTTGTGTTTACCAAAAATTTCTTGAAACTTGAACCATATTTATATTTTATCTATCATGTAATATGTGAAATGCAACATTTTACATCATAAAAAAAAAAAACGAAAAATATACTTACTGATGGTGTGATAACAATATATAGTATTATACATCATAATAATATTCATTTAATATACAATGTTGTAATTCGAAAAATCAATACCACAATTCGAGGGTGCGGTCACATGATCTTACGGCCATAATCTTTTATTTTTTTCATGAGGGATTTTTTTTTCTAAATTACTATGAAGAGCGAAACTTGTGTTAAAACTACAAAAATAAATGGTTCTAAAAAATTTACAAAATGATACTGGAAGTCATCACATCGGTATGAAGCTCATATAATCGATCTGTAAGATTTATAATTTTTCTAAACGAAATCTCTAATTTGTACAATAAAATTATATAGAGTAAACGATATTAAGTAGAATTTATGCTCATGAATTATATTAATGAAATGAAACAATCTATAAGAGGTTAACTTTGGTTTCTTACTATTCCTTTTATTTGTTGTAAGAAGAAATACAAACAAGGAACAATCACAATAATTTGCAAAATGTTGCTTTTGACGCAGTTTTGCATATTTAAGCAAAAAAGCAAAAAATTCTGCTTGAGCGGAATTTCAAAATGTTTTAATAAATAATTGGTAGGCAAAATAAACTACAGTGCGAAACACCGACAATAGTTAATACCTAATGTTTTAAACAAATTCTTAACATTCTAAAAAAACAATCTCATTTTTAGTTATAAATTATTTTATTTTATTTTTTTTATTTTTATTTTTTTTACAAAATTTGCTATATTCGACAAGATTCAAAACTAACCTAACAAAAGTTTAAATATGAATGCCGCTAAGGGAAAATATAAAATTGAAATCAATTTATTAACATAATAGAAAAACATCCGTCCATTAGATATATTAAAATTTACCAAGATTATTTAAAACATGCTGCTGTTGAACTGCCAAAAATTTAAATAATTTATTGCTTCATATTCGTTACCTTAGTCGTCGCCATCATCACTAAGATCATCGCTTGGTGGATCATCGTCCTCATTTGAATCATCTTGCGCAATATCACTTGTATCCTACAAAATAATAGTAACTAATATTAATAAAGCAAATGTATTAAATGAGAATTTCACTTTCTTACCATTTGAAGCGCCAAAGTCGCTTTTTGAAGTAAATTCCTTAATTCTTGATTATTTGAATCAACCAATTGTATAGGACGTTGTTTGTTCTTATTCTGTATTCTTGATGAATGGAAGACAAAAATCAGAATTTTATATAGTATTCATTAAGCTTAAAGGGTCTTAATCTTATCTTACCTCGGGTCAGCACCGTTGTTGACTAATAACTGTACTGCGAAAAATAATTCGAAGACAGGCTTCAATGATGATAATTGCTATATTACACTGTGACCATCTCATATTAACATACCAATTTCGAAAGCGACCGAGGGATCATCAGTATATTTAACTGCCATATGCAGTGGAGTTTCAAGCTCAAGTCGATTTTGAGCGTCAATATTAATATCTTCTTGCTGTAAAAGCAAATCAACAGCAGCGAGGGAACCACGTTGAGCTCTAATCAAATGAATTTGGGCTTTCATAAATGATTAATATTCATAATTGTCCATATTAATCAATAATACGTACGCGTAATGAAGAGCAGTGTTTCCTATACTGTCCGTGTAATTTATATCATAAGAGTCAGGCTGAGAAAATATATCCTCGAGAATATCTTCCGAGTCTTGCTTTGCCGCCATCAAAAGCAGCTCATCTTAGATAAATATGTGGTCAAAATGTGCTATATAAGAGCTTGCATGTTTGAAGTTTTTTCCGATTGCGGATATTTTTGTAAGCCATTTGCAATAACGACTCCATAACTTCTCAAGCGTAGTTTTTAGCTATCATTTGCCTTATGAACTCTTATTATGACAAAGCTTAAAAAACTTACTATTGGTAGCGCCTTCGCTATCAGACATTGTTAGCGTCAGTCGAAGAAAGTTACTAGATTAGATTAATGATTGGTAGTGTAATACGTACGTACGTACGTACGTATGATATTAAAAAACTGTCGTCATGGCATGAACAATCTCCGTAGCACAAACTTTCCAAATTTGCGGGTTGGTTAAAGTGGAGCGCGGTTTAGGGTAATCTTTTTGATGCAGTTATGCATATGGGCTAATTCGGGACATGCATAAAGTCTAAACATTTTTGATGGTGGGTCTTTCAAATGTAATTATTAGATATCTGAACCTCAAAGTTCGCGTAGCTATGTAAATTGTTTTTAGATAAATAAAAGGCGTTACTAGTTATTTTTTCTTTGATAAAATACTGGTTTTCAAATTATGAATTTACAATATAACATTTACTTCAATTTCTTTTGTCTGTTATCCTATTTGTTTTCAAAAATTTCAAGTCTGAAAATAGACTTAAACATCATTATAACATAATTAAAAAAATATAATATACCACATAACGATCTTGATACAATTCTGAACATTTCATTGCAAGAATATAAAAATATTTTAATTTAACAAATACATCATTAAGCTTTAGAAGAATGGAAAAAAAAGTACAGGTTACCCCTGTTAATATCAACCTCGTTAATATAAAACTCGTTAATATCAACCTCGTTAATATCAACTTCGTTAATATCAACCTCGTTAATATTAATTTAAGCCACAAACCAAATTTTGATAAATTTTTATATATCAAAATTCCCTCATATATATTAACTTTAATATAATATTACTATTAACATGATTTAAAACCAATTCAAATAGATTGATATTACAGCTGTTTTCAAAAAGATGTGGAAAATGATTTCCATATACCCATATGGGGAATCAGAGAATTTAAAAATTCCAATTAGTAAAAATTAAGGATTTGATTGGAGTGGGTCTTGAAAACTTTAAAAATCTTGAAAATCTTGGCAAATTTCTCATAATATAATAATCTGCCCATTTCACATCTTTTGAAAACAGCTATAATAAGAATAATCTGTATTTTTTTTTATTTTTATTTTTTTTTTTACTTAGGCAAAGGCACATCAATAACTCTGTTTATTTAAGTCATTATCTTATAGAAGATGTAAAACAATAAATCTATAGCCTTAACATTCTATAGCTACTTTATAACTAATTAATAGTTATCAGAGCACCTATAGATAACCTGCTGCACCAGCAAAATATAATCAATTAAGATAATATCCTAACTGGAGAGCTCATTCGACTACTACTCTACAATAGAATGTTACCAATCTAATAATATCTTTTTCTAGAGAAGTAAAAGAAAAAGAAAAAATTTTTAAAAATAACACAGAGGTATAAGGGAATATATTAAAAGATACAAGCAAGAAATAAATCAAGTAAAAAGAAAATAAAAAAAACTAAACTAAATATAGAATTTTCATCCACACTAAACGATCACAATTATAAGCTTATATCAGGCTTTATAAAAATTATTTACTACTATTTAAACTAGTTTTTACTCTAATTTATATAATTAATATATCCAAGATAAGAAAAAAACTCTTTACAGAATAAAAAAAAAAATAGCTTCCTTGTTGCTAGCACCATAGAGAGGTCAGAAGGGTTAGAAATTTGCATTATTAATCTCAAAACATTGTTTGTTTAGATTGTCACTTTCAAGGTATGTTTTCTATATATCCAGTTCTATATATATCTATATATTTGATGTAACAGGTAAAAAGTAAACAATGTTAACCAATTTGGTAAATAAACAATATATTAATTTTTTGGAGAAGTAAACTGAGTCGTCTACTTTTTTACAAAATTTTTTCCTAAAAAAAAAGCAAAAAGTTAATAAGAGTATGTAAGGTTCTTTTGTAAATTTTATAGTTGTATAGACAATTCTTTAAGCTTTTATTATCTTAGTGAAAGTCTTTTAACTACTACTTGTTCCTAGAATAGCCCTTCTAGTTTGGATGCCAAATATCTTAGAAGTCTGTTCAATATAGCAAAAAAAACTTTACTCTAAGAAAACTATCTAAGTATCGTATATTACTGAATAGAAGCTACCAAAATTTTGAGAGTTTTTTCGGACTAAAAAGAGGGTGTAGCTTCTATTCGGGTCTAATTTTATTATTAAAACATAATAACTTCCTCCAAATTTTTAATCCAAAATCGAGGGGGTAGCTTTTATTTGGAGGTAGCTTCTATTCGGTAATATACGGTAATACTCACTCCTTGGTGTATTATATCTTTTGAACTTCGTTAATAACAACCTACACAGAGATAATAACTAGAGTTGTTAATGGAGTAGCTTACTCTGGAGCACTCCAGAGTAGAACCCAATCCAAATTGGAGTAGGTTTAAAATTATATCTTTAAATTTGAAGCAATCTGGAGTAACCCAAAGTACTATAGAGCAACCCGAAGCAAGACATTAAAGTAGGTCTAATTTAATAGAGTGGGTTGAAGATTAGGTCAACCCAAACCAACCCAATCCAACCTATTAACAATTCTAGTAATAACAATTCTCAAAATACTCTTTTGGTTTAAATGCTGAATAATTTAGAGAATCTACCAAAAAGCAGAAGAGGTTTAATATCAAAAAACCCACCTAAAAATGCCCACTTCTCAGTATTTTATGTCTTCAGATTTCGTCAACAACTGTTTACTCTAAGGTAGGACTGATAAGTATTTGTCTTGAACATTTCTATATCATTTTTTTGTAGTTTGGTTTTCCTATTATTGTTAACCAGAAGATCATTGAAAAGAGTTTTGAACTAATTGTAACCTGTATTATCAATTCAGGTTTAAATCTCTTTTAATAATATTATAATTTTATTGGTTTTGTATACCAATTTCGGACATTATAGCAATCAATTTGGATATTATAGCAATCAAATTTGAATATTGTAGCAATCAAATTCAGACATTGTAGCAATCAAATTCAGACATAGTAGCAATCAAATTTGTACATCTTAACAATCAAATTTGAACAGCAATATCTCATTATC